TCTGACCTCATGAGTGGTAATGTATGTTTTTGACTGACATTTGATGGTTACTGCGGCTTGAAGGTTCGGCAGAATTTCCGCTTCATGCATGTGCTGATGAATGATCAGAATTTTAATTGCTTCAAATGTTTGACCATACTGCCGATTTGTCAACGTCTCCATTTTTTTCTGCTGTTCTGTGTATAGGAAGTGCGGAAAATTATCCGAGCTCTGAGGCCGCTCAAGGGGCTGAAGAACGTCGTGTTGGTGTTGAACACGTCAGTCGAAGGAAGCAGAGATCTCCAGCCTGAACACGAATGCTTTGTGGAAACACTGGAGGAATGCTTCGGCTCGGCTGGAGGTGGCTTGAAACAGGCGACTCTCCTCTACGAGTTGGAGCCAGGTCACCGTACCGTGTGCTTGACCTACAGCCTCGAAAGACAGAAAAAGACGGATTTCTCGTCCGCATTCATCACGAGATTTTACTCAGAATGGCTCAAGTATATTCCAGCGTGGGGATCACCGTATGAGTATTCGTTTTTCGAGACCGTTTTAACTGTCTTCAATCGATGGGTTTATGATGATTGAATAACGCCCGAATCGGAGCTTCGTTCCATACCGTATGCTGTGAACTGCACTCGAATGTAAGACCGCGTCCTCGAAGATAATTAACATGCGCAAATGTTCGGTATTGTGACGAATATGTTCCTGAAAGTTGAAGAAATCCTTTCCTTTCTAACTGTCGGTGCAGATCAGCCACAGAGAAGTCTGACGAGTCAAAATTTGTTTCCTTCATCGCGTTCATCTCTTCGAGCACATCCAAAGCGGTTTGAAAATCGAACTTCTCCGCCATTCAAAATCCTCTGGAGAATTTGCTGCTTGTTCGAAGTATTGGTTTAATTTTTTTTCTGAGGCTATGATTCACTTTATCATTGGTTAAACCATGTATGTTGCTGACAATAAGAATGAGAGACATCCATGAAAAATCGCACTCTAGCCTTCGAAATTCCGCTTTGGGAAAAGAGCGTTTTACTTTCGAGTGAACGTGAACGCAAAAGCAATTCTTTTCAAGGCTAATTTACAGTAATGTTTAATTTACAGTATGCTGTGCATAATGTTTTGAAGTACCGTTTGTGTATTGGTCATTTTTCTGTAAGCTGCCATCATTATAATCGGTAAGGCATTTTGGCCACAGGAACCAGTAAATATGATTGCGAATTTGTGTCATTGCGGAAAAGCGGGAGGACGTTGTTAACGAATTCAAGTAGGTACGGTACTGTGATGTACTTTTTATTGTCAAGTTACCCATCTATGAATTCCTGTTTTATCCCAACATTGTTTCTGCAGTTGACAAAAATGTATGGAATATTCCTTCAGCCCCGTTTTGAAAAAAGAATCGTTCTCCACTCAGTGCTGGGGTTGATAATTTCACAGTATTTTATGAATGTATTTTCCAGACCAAAAGGTAAACTCAACTCTCAAGTAACCTTTAATAATAACCAGTGAGCTGAAGAAGTACTATACTTACGCACATATAACATGACATGACATACACTTTCGCTTCTAAACAGCACAAATATTTTCATACCATGTGTCGATGCTGTACATATATTTTTCAAGGATGCGGTTAACATTTTTTTTCCGGTAAAGCGGCGGTTGTAATGGAGTGAAGTACTCTATATATGTACTCCGTGGATCTGTTGAGAAATGCAGGAAAACTGTTTTAGGTGTTGGAAGCTTATCCGTTGCACTGTGCTTCTAAAATTGGTTATTCTTGATTTTCAGGTCAATCTCGTGGTCGTGATATAAGCTGTGAATGAGTCACAAGTGTGCGCGGTGGTGGTCTGAGCTTTCTGCATCGGGTGTGGAAGAAATGGAGGAAACAGCTGATCAACGAAGGTCGACTTCGTCCATTCATTCGAATGCACCTCTACATCGACACGTTTACGGGATGTGATTCATCGCTATTCTGACTTGACAAAGATTTCGCTCGGCTTTATTACATGATTTCCCCTCAAAAGATTCTGTCTGAATTATTTAATTGACAGATAATTAACTGGGAAAATTGGTTCAAAATTTATTTAAACCTTGTGCGTCAATAATGCCAACAATGAGTGGTGATTAAAGCTTGTACATCATTCAAGCAATTACCTTTCAACATTCTACTTCATAGAAAGAAAGAGCTGGATAATTGAAGGAGGTTGTTCATCAGAAATTGATGCTTTAAAATATTAAACCCCAGAAATGCTTTTATATTCGGAAATTCACGTGATGAGAATAATTGTTCGGGAAACAATTTGAAAAAAATCCATTGATTGCATTCATGACTGGAGTAAAAAAATTTTGTCGAATTCAATTCTTTGGGATTGAATGAAGGCTGATTTGCAAAGAAATGGATGCTTTTGTAAGTATGTAATGAATTTGTCTCACGGAATAAACCTACAGATGCCTCGGTAGTTACGAAACTCCCGTCCACATAAAAAAAAACCTTCCGGGCTTTTGTTACCTGCACAGTCAACCTCTACCTTAGGGCTAGGAAGTCTCTCCTAACTTTTTCTGCACTTACAAAATAATTGTACTTTATGTAGCCCAACATTTCTTCATTTCATTTATCTGCTTCCTTCAATTGCTTGCCTTCCGCTGCCAGTCCCCGCGGTTTTGTCCGAATTCAAAACTGGTGCTGTTGAATGCAAATAAGAAAATTTGCAACTTGAAAACTTTTCCAACACCTCGACAAAGGTCATCGGACTCATTTACAAATGTCTTTGTGATGGGTTAATTAAAAATACAATTCATGGTAAGCATGGAAAAAAATATTTTCAACTTCTGGCGAAGGATCATTATTCCACAGGAGAATTGTAGAGATCCAGAAAACGAAAATCGCCTTGCAGGAACGGATTAGTTTGGTTGCGCTGGACCCACCATCATAATTCACCGCATCTGGAATTATATTCGAGTAAATACCGTAGAATTCACACTTGATGGTCGATTCAAGATTACTAAATCACCTCAATAGCCAGGAGCATGCCTGGCGTCAAACGGGTACGACACATACTTTACAGTGAAACACCATTTTTTTTACCCACCTCTACCCCATAAGAATTTGTGGCACTTCAGCAGCAACTCACATCACATTTCAAGAACTTGTGACTCAAAACGTAATCAAATTTTTCTTTTTTTCAAGTTCCTTCTCACTGGGAAGAATAACCTGAAAATAATTTTCAAAAATATCCCAATAAAAAACAGTGAAAAACTGGAAATAAAATACTATATTGCAAGTGATTCACGTTTCAAAAAAGTTTCCTTGCATTTTTCAAAAACAACGCCGCTCACAATATTCTTTTCAAATGAAAAAAAGTCCATCAAAACGATGTGAAGAACAAGGTGCACACAATTCGTCTCAAATCATCAAGTACATAAACGAAAGATCGAGGTAAGAACCGTAATTTCAAAATATAAAACGCACTTCAAATTAATTCAAACCGTAGTTGGTAGAAACAGGACTCGCCTTCTCCATCTCAATTCGCAGGTTACGTCGCTAATGCTGGTCGCTGTAGTAAAACAAAAATGCTCTCAATATCGCCGGAACTACTTTCCACTCAAGATTTCATTTCAAGAGGAGAAGACTTGAAATCCTTAATTGTTCAAAAAATTTGGAGATTTTTTACCCAGGCACAGCTGCATGGGTATAATTTAACAAAAATAAAACAGGACGCAAAATGTTTTCCATTCAGGGCTAAAAAGAAATCCGGTAAATGGTCAAGAGCACGTCATATTTAAGAAAAGAAAAAGTCAGAACAAAAATGTTACCGTTCATCAACCGTATTCAAAATAACTGAAATCGCCTCAAATACGGTAAGCTCGCCCTGCACCAACTCGTCAGGCACATGCTTCAACCAATCTTTGTAAAACCTTGTGATGAAGGCAGATGAGAACAGCGAGTCCCTTTGCTCCTGGACGTCGTAAGTAAAATTAATGTAAGATGGACGATGTAAAAGGAAACGTACATGCATCAAAGTTTCGCCAAAGATAGTAACTTGATTCAAAAACGACCGAGTCCCAAGGCATTTCCGCATTGTTTCTCGAAGAAGCGCTTCGTCAGTTCTTGACAAACGGTTCGACAGGAAAACGACATTCTTGAGTCGCTTGAACGCCTTCACGGTGCGGAGAATTCTCTTTATTTCCTGTACATGAGTCAAAGGGCAGAAAGTAAAAGAGATGATGACCCTTTTTTACCCCAGGTGTCCTTGTATAAGATTATTCAACACATACAATACTTGGTAAACCACTCGATGTCATTCTTCAAAGTAATTCTCCTGACTTGAAAATCAGGCAAAAAGTTAAATGTAAGGAAATTTCTCTTGAATTCATTATCATTTGATTGATCGAGCAGAAATTTCCAGCTCGCACATACACGGCGATTTCAAAATCTTGTTTCTTTCCCAACTCTCACCTTTGGGTTACGCACTTGAATCCAGAGATCCTCCAGAGAATTCTTACAGTGGCTGAGATGACGGAACACAGACAATGCTCTATCGGCTGTGGTTCCTGGAAATGCAAGGAACTCGAATGGCTGTGACAATTGACCAAGAGTATCCAAAGGAAGATCTTCCGGTACACTCAGGATCAACCCTCTAAGTTTCGAGCAGAAACTCAGTTCTTTGAAGGCGCTTTCGGGGTTTCTAGGGACAGCTTTGTGTTGGAAAAAGAGCGCTACACATTCCAAATTCATCATTTTTGAATATGGAATGTATGTTTCCCACAGGTCAGCTGACACGAATTTCAGATTTGCAAGCCACTCCTTTGAACTTTCACTGAAGATCTGCAGTGAATTTAGAACTTGCTGTGTAGGTACGACAGATGCTTGTTCGTCGACATTCCTGATCCAAAGGTGTTCCAATGATGGCATCAATGGTAAATGACAAACTGCGTCAATTGGCGATGCATCTTCCAGCCACAGCGATTTCAACTATATACAGTATATACACAATCAACAAAATATCAAGATAAATAATCACACGGAAGGTCGGCCCAGACAAAATATGACCACTTTCAGAACAGCAAAATAGTTTTCACAGTAAGAATTGAGAAAAAAAATTTCTCCGTCTAAAATGGATTCAATTTCAACCCCTGTCCTATTTTGTGTTCCACTTCTTCAACCTCTCTGGTATGCATTTGATGGTCATCAAGAATAAGAACCCAAACTGAAAATGTCTCCCCATCATCAACATTAAATAAGAACCAACTCTATGCATGTTCAAAGAAGCTTATAAACACCATTTTTCGCGTTTACAGGGACGAGAACTTGGGGAACTACAAGATTTCAGGTCCCAGGACATGAATTCTGGTACAGTTTTCCTTAACGCATCCACAACAAGTGGATACGACTTCTTTGAATCACATTTCTCCAGCCAATCACAGGCGGGGAAAAGGTCCTGTGCTTTGGTCAGCTGACCAGACCAAAGCGTACAGCTAAAAACATATGAAACCCCAGCAATTTTCCCCACTTGGTCCTTTAATTCAGCTTTTACAGAAACATCCCTGCTAAATTTCAAACCCATTTTGCTTGTATTATTGTACTGTATTTTGATATTGCGCCCTGAATTTGTGTGCACAAAAATTAATTGTTGTATTCATCACCTGTGTGTTGAATTATTACATTTATTGTGATGTACAATCTTATTGTATTGTGATTTCTTGTGGACTGTGATTAAACCAGGCAAAACTAAAGATATGTAATCAAGGTGATCCCTTAATTACAAATCTGTGGCTGCAAACTGCCCGATTGCCCTGCCTTATTGTTGTTTCTTATTATTTTCTTCCATTGCACTAGGGTTCAATAATTTATGTTAGGTTGATTAATTCCACAACAACAACCATAACCAATGATGCTTTATTTAGTGGAGAGAGGTGCCACGTTCATATATGTTTAATAATAAAGCGTACTTTTTCATTTTTGAAAAAAAAAAAAAGCCAGACACATAAATAGGATAAGAGGAGGAAAATGATTGTGCATCATCGGGACAAAAGAAATCGATGAAGAGAATAATTCTTGGAAGGAGAGATACAATTACTATCGCAGGGAATATACAGCGGGGTCGAATGTTTCTCAAATTCTGGAGTTTTTTCCCCAAAAGTGAGGGAGCACATATTGGCATCTTTCCGGAAGATCATATTTAAGATCTACTACAGTTATAGGGATGAAAATTATTAACAGTCAAGAGTTCAATGACGTTTAGTAAGCTTTTGGCACCTATAATAGATTGGCAATATAGGCACGCTAAGCACAATTTCTAGGGACGAAGACTGTGGCAGGACATCCTCAAGGTACAATAAAATGTTACTGTTCACCTTCGGGAAAAAAATTATTCTCTCGTCAACCGGCGGCAAATTGTTGAAGATCCTTCCATTCATGCTCAGGGATTCAAGGTTTGCCAAAATTCCCATTCTCTGAGCAAGTTTCCAGCCTGCTGCATCCAATTTCACCGGCAACTGATAGGTATGAAGACTTGACAGAACACCTGGACCCACAAAGTCAGGGAACTCCAGCAAAAACGGATCCGGGTGGAATGAAAAATTGGACACTAAATATTCCACGCCAGGTAGAATAGCATGATTGAGATACAGTTTCTCCATCCTGTAAACAATGCATTCACCAGATTCAGCAGACAGAGAACATAAAAAAATCAACTATCTTAATATATTATACTGACCTCGGAAAAGTCTGTCCCATATTTGCTGAATACATTTTCTCCAAGGAACACCGTAAACTCACTACCCGACATTTGGGAAACAAGACGTGTCCAGATTCGGAAGCTTTCAATAGAGAGTTCCCAAGAGTGACGGTTTCCACTGACAGCATCTCCAGGTTCGTGAGCGTCTTGCCTCTTCTCGTGAGAAATTTAACCCATGCATCTTCGTTCGTATTCAAACTCAGGACTTCGAGCACCTTTAATTTACTCCAATCGTGATGACGAAATATTGGTTGTAAAATGTCTAGTGGCCAAAAACCTTCCTGGCCAAATTGAAATCTGAACTTCAATGAAAGCATCCGAACACACCTACTTCAAATGGGCTAATGAGCGATAACATATATTGAATCAACGAATTCAACTTTACCTATACACGACATTGCAGAATTCTTTCAAGTGTCCACATGGCGGAAATTCCACTCCATTCTCAAAACAAAAGTCGATACGCGTCCAACAGCTTCCATCCTTCATCAGGCGAAAAAACTGCCGACATACTGGAACAACGCCTTGCATAACTTGAAATGGTGTCAGACATTTCATGATATTCCTGAGAACCAGCGTAGGACATGATAAAAGGAGCGACGTCTGTGGCTCCACGACGTGACTGTCATCACTGAGGAGGAACATGATCCTGAAAGAAGCTTTGAAAAACATATTGGACGCCATTCATTCCTTTCAACTTCGGCTATCATTTTCATACAGTAGAATATGATTGTTTACGAAAATATGAAAAAACATTGTACGGAGTTTTTTTTCTGAATAGAAATCGACTACATGGAAGCAGGACGTCCAGAAGTGAAGGTTTAACGTGCAGTATGAAATTTAAATTACCGTAACATGGTTTCGCTTTTTTAAAAGCTCAAATTCGCATGAAAAATGCAAGGCTTCGTGAAATTTCCCACTTCACGTATTCATCAACCACACAGTTTCCGCCCGTGACAAAATCTCCATCAGATGACTGGTTCATAAATTCAGCGAATCGTAAATCACATAATCTTCTGTAGGATTGTTGCTAGAAAATCAAGATGCCAGTTACGTTAACGAACCAATTCTATAAAACTCCTTCCCTGTGACCAATTTGAATAGACAGAAGGCATTAGCTGAAGGATCACTGCGGACAAAAAGTTTCACAAGTTTGACGAATTTAATGTCTTTGCTTCACGTTACTTCATAAAATTTTAAATTCTTCATTTCATGTGGACATTTTCGAGATTCTATAACTATGTTCCAAACGAAGTTTTTGGCGACTCCCTGGTTCCCTTCAACTATATTGATCATGGAACAAGATGTTGTTAAAATGAACCAACATTCTTGAAAATCCCACGTAAATGTTTTATACGATCGCACAAAGTTTCATTCTTGGTTCGAGAATATTTTGAAATTGATCTTAAAAGAAGATTTAAATCGCGAAGAATTTAATTCCAAGGTACGACAGAGATAAACATACGGTATATATACTCACGAAGTTTGGAGAAGAACCCCTCAATGATGTCTCCGTGTCTCAAAGTACACTCGGATCTCTGCTTAAAAGACGGCAAAAGGTCATTATTCAGGTGTAGATACAAACCGAAGCGGTGCGTGATTGTTTCAACTACAGTTAATACGAAATCTCCGCTCGCGTCGTCCTGAACGATGGAGAAAATCATCCACAAATTGGCTTGCTTTGAACAAACCGCTCCAACTTTCATCCCGTTCTCTTCTTTATGAACATCTGAGAAGAATTGTTCAAATGGAGTCAGATGAATACTGCACTCGGAAATGCAAAATATAAGAGCATACAGTACTGTATTCAACTTACGTAGACGAACCTGCGTCCCCTCAGTAGTACACGCGTATCCGAACTTTTCAAAATAACACGAAATCGTCATTCGACTCGGATTCGTGTCGCACCTTCTCAACCCGGCGTCTGTCGCAGCACGTCGTTCCAATTCCATGTAGGCAAGGTCTCGGAGACCATAGTCTAATTTCACGAGAAACGCACGCATGACGGAAATGAAAGCTGCGGAGCGAAATTTTGACTAAACTTCTTGAAACTCCGATACTACTGCTTTTCTCACCTACATTCTTTGAGAAGACGCGCATGTATAGAATAATAGCAGAAAAAACGTGTGAGACGGTTATCCAGAAACAGATGTTCTCTTCTTGAAATACATTACACAATCGTGCAGTTTTACGACGCGCAGGAACAAGACATTCACAGAACAGTACCTGTAAAACAGCAACAAACAACAATTTTGCATGACACTCCGAAAAAAGGTGAAATCTGGGCCGGAACAAGAGAGAGGCGACCTTTTTTGTTTTTGCAGTACATATATTGGTGAGTTCGGTTATACCCTCAAATTATTCACGGCTTGAACATACTGACGTTCTCTGCAGCAGATACAAAATAATTTCATGCAGCATACATCTCTTGGTCTTCGTTTTTCCAATTCAATTAATTGCTCCCTGTAACCGCTGCCACGCAGCAGATGTTCCGGACGTATTTTTAAAATGAACATACAGTATTTCGTTAAATGCGGATGAGCCAAATTTGTCAACTATTGCTAACCTCTCGAAGTCTCGGAACAACCGGAATCAAGAATTTGCCGTATCATCAAGTAACGGACGTGCGTGTAAAATGTTCGGAAATCATGGTGAACTTTCAAATGATGTTGGAAAGTTGCCGAACTACACTTATATACAGTATATGGATTTGAACATGCGCTTGCGTCATTTTTTTTTTCTTTTGATTCTGCAATGGAACCTCGAGAGAGTCGGCGATCCGCAGAATGAAAAAATCACGTCGGAACAGATGAGTTCGGTTGTGCTGGGACCCACTAAAATGATTCAAAGCATCTTCCATACTATTCGAAAAAATACTGTAGAATTCGGACTTGATCAATCAGACCCAGGAAGATGGTCCATAAAAGATGACTGAAATCATCAATAACTATAGGAGCACGCCCCACGTTTAACGGTTACGGCACATATACCCTCGAATCCAAATTTATAGCCAACTCTGTTCCACACGCATTTTGCGGCAAATTTCTCAACAAGGAAAGCACTAGATTGAGGATTGAATACACAACACACATGCCATGTGAAAGCTGGTGATCAATGAGAACGACGTTATTCCGACATTAGATGCTATGAGTAA